ATTTTAAATTCCGCTGTAAACTCTGTTCCGTACAGTATATCGAACCCAACATGTTATTCTTGTGACACTTATGCTAAGGTGTATGAACCTGCTATCAATCCTATAACTGGGCCAGGTCTATGGGATATGACAAGCTACATACCTTCACTTTCTCCAAATTTTGGAAAAAAAAGGGAAGGCCAACCAAATTAAGAAGAATGGGAGCAGATGAGAGTAGCAGTGAAAATAAAAAAAGAATGAAAGGTGCAGAAAAACTTCCAAGGCAAAAGTATAAGGTATCCTGCAAGTTTTGCCATCAAATGGGACACAATCAAAGAACTTGCAAGTGGAAAAAGTTAGCTGAAAGTAGGATTGCAGATAGTGCCTTTGAGGTGGAGGAACAACATAAAGAGATGACTCAAGGTGATGATTTTACATCACAAACTCAGGATGATGATAGCCAGCCCCAACCTCGAAGAAAACTAATTGTAAGTTCTTTATGATTTTTCAATTTATTTTTCTGTGTTTTACTTTTTTGAATACATTTATGATAACATATATTGATATAACCAGGCAAGGAAAAGCACTAGAGGAGCCACTCTTTGAAGTCATCAAATCTAAGTCTCCTGCTGCAAATTGTGCACCTTTTGAAATGATAGTTAGTCCCCTGATTGTGAGTGGTATTTGTAAAGGGGTGTTTTGTGAACATGCTTATATTATGTGACTGTGTCAGTAAGTTGTCTTGTTTTGGGAACTATGAAATATATTATGTGATGGGTTTTTTTATGATTGAAGGTGGATCTTTTGTTAAAATTTAGTGTTTTAGGACTGAATGAGTGTTTTCATGATGACTGGTGCTTAATTGAAAGTGGATTGCAGTTTTGTGTGTTTACACGGAGGTTTCATGTTGTTTCATGCTGAAGTTTTATGTTTGCAATTGAAGTTCTGTATGTACATTGAGTTTTCATGCTTGAAGTTTGTGTTCTAATTTATGCAATTGAGGTTCATGATGACTGTTTACAGTTACACAATTGAGGTTTTGTGTTCTATTTTAGTAGACATGAATGAAATCGAAGTTCTTTGATGTGTGGATTTGTTTCATGGCAAATTAGCAACAAAGTGGTCTGATTTTCATTGAGATTAGCAACAACTAGTAGATATCCTGTGCACATGCACAGGTGTTGTGCACATATGTACATAAACTATTAGTAAGTAATAATTGATAAATTAATATTAAAATTCTAGATAATGAACATATTATTACATTTACACAAATTTGATCATTAGAAAAAATAAATTAACAATTTTATTTTTATGAATAATTGTTTATTACCATTAGATAATAACAGTTTGATTATAATTATTATTACTAAAAAAATAATTGTTTATAAGCTTCTAAAGTTGTTTGACTATGCTATTAAAACAATTTACTAAATGTTTTTTTTAAAAAAAATTCATGAGATACAACAGAAAAAAGATAATATTGATGTTAATATAAATAACTTGAAACAATTGTTTATAATAGTGTAATTTATATTTATTGTGAATTATTATTAGTTGGTATTAGCAATAACTATTATATAACATGATAGAAAAATACATGATTACACTTAATAGGATGTGTTAATGTGAGAAGTAAAGAAATATTAATGATAAATTTTGTAACTGAAAATAGAGGAAAAATTTTAGAGGTTTTATTAAATAGGTAAAATTAAATGCTAAGCTAGCAATTATATATATATATATATATATATATATATATATATATATATTATTAAAAAATAATTATTTATAAGATTCTAAAATTGTTTAACTATTCTATTAAATTGTTTTTAAAGAAACTTTTTTTTATGAGATACAAAAGAAAAAGATAATACTGATATTAAAATACATAACTTGAAACAATTATTTATAATTATGTAATTTATATTTATTGTGAATTATTATTAGTTGGTATTAGCAATAACTATTATATAATATATATATAATAGAAACATACATGATTACACTCATTAAGATGTATTAATGTGAGAAGTGAAAAATATTAATGACAAATTTTGTAACCGAAAATGGAGGGAAAATTTTAGAGGTTTTATTAAATAGGTTTTATTAAATGCTACATGCCAGCAATTATATATATATAGATACCTCATAACAACAATAGATAAGGTTTCCATTTGGATACTTGGATTCATATTATGCTTATTTCATGATAAACATACACACCATTGAGATTACAAGTAAGAACAGTAAAATTCTATTCTTCTTCTTCAGTTGTGCATTTTCTTCTTTCAGTTTCTTCATCTTTTTCAAGTATATCTCATTCTCTTGAAGTTCAGTTGCAGATGCGACATTTTGGCGATTTGTTTCAACTTCTAACCGGTTTATTTTACGAACAAATCAAGGATTATTTCTTTTGACCTTGCACACATCGGTAGGTCAAACCAATTCCAAAAGCGACAACCATTTTGGCCACAATCCATGTACCTCTTTCCTGGATTGGCAGAGGTCCATGCGGTGTGTAAACGAGCAACCTTACTGCAAAAACAAAAAACACCAGCTTGTCTTCTTGAAGGACTTGAAGAACTCAATTTTTTTTTTTTCTATTTTTCTGTTGATTTGAATTGCAAATCTGAAGAAGAGAATGAGGGATTTATGCTATTTTGTGGCTTGTGATTTCTGGTACAATTTCTCGTCATTTTCAAATGTCATTCTCCCTCCATTTTTGCCTGTTAACGTTTCTGTCTATTCTATTTGTTTTGGGACTAAGTTTGGAACGAAAATTAGTTAAGGACTAAAAGTGAGTATTTTGGACTATTTTTGGGACCGTCCCAATCTAACGGGACCAAATTTACAATTTCCTCGCTACGTCATCCATCTAATAAAAAGTTGTTCCGACTGTGTAAACTGTAGACTGCCGGCCCATAATAGCATCTCCAATTTTTGAAACACAAATCTCCATTGGAGTTTCAAAAAGTCGTTCCGACTTTTGCTACAGTCTGCAACTCGCTGTTGCTCATAGATCGTCATTTCTCATCACCATGGAGAACTGAAGCAAACCACCAGCATAATCACTTCCTCGTACACTCTCAAAACTCCAACCAAATCTTTATTTATTATTTCTATTCCGCTTTTCCGTCTGTAGTCTGTAGATTTCTGTTTATCATAGGTATGTTGTTTGACCTTTAAGGTTCATTAGTCGAATGTTGAAGTAACTGGTCTTCCTCCTTCTGAACCCGTTTCGAGATTTCAGTGTTTTTTTTTTTTTTTTTTTTTTTTTTTTTTTTCTGTGAAATACATGTTCTGCGCTTGTGTTCTCTATTAAAAGATGAAAAGATAATAAATTTTCAGCTTTTGGAGCAAAATATGGACCTAATAATGATATTTTGGTGGTGGTCACTTTGAAATTCTTGTTCCCACTTGCAGATTTTTAATTTCTACTTTTCTCATAGTTGTGGCATCTTGAAATAATTCATCGATTTTGGGGTATTTGCTCAATGATTAAAAATGGAGTGTTGCTTAAGGATAAATTTTCTGAGGATTAATTTACAAGTCTGTCTGTGGACTATGAATCCTCTTTGATCTGTTTAGAATCATTTTTTTGATGCCAACTTGCAGATATTTTCTTGTACTTCCTTTATTAATGTTTGATGTGTTATGCCTATTCATTGCCTGTTTTAGAACATACAGATGAAACATTCGACAATATTTTCAGATTCTTTCCTTTGACATTGATTTCTGGTTTTAGGTATAGTGCAATGAAAGTTCTCTTGAACCTTTTGGTGGTTTTGTGGGCTACTGTGTGCCTTGAAGAGGTGACATCACACGGGATTCAACCTCTTTCGACAATCGCTATTCAGAATGCCGTTGTTGATTTAGATAGTAAGGCATATATTAAAGCTTCTCCATCAGTTCTTGGAGTCGACGTAAGTCTTGAATTTATATGAATGTGGTGCATTCCTATTTTTAGCAAAAAAGATGTTTCATCCAATTATTTCTCAATTTTTTTTGGCTGCATTTGTTAGCTGGTCATATTGTATACAATCGAGTTCTTTTACAGGAAGAAAACACTGAATCAATTGAAGTATATTATAGTAGCCCAATCCCATCGAGTGACGACTGGATCGGAGTATTTTCTCCTGCTAACTTCAGGTGAAGAAATTACCTATGCCCTTTGATTTCTTTAAAAAAGTTAAATCTCAAGAAGTTATATCTTATTTTAAGGAATTATTTCTTATCTTTTTCAGTTCATCGACCTGCGTCGCAGAAAATCCAAGAGTTGGGCCACCATATTTATGTACAGCACCTATAAAGGTTCTATTTGTTTCTGTTTTGCAGTGATTTTAATTATAATTATGAGATTTCCAAATTAAAAAGGTGGTCACATTTTGTATGTTTCTTTTGATCTGCAGTATCAGTTTGCAAATTTCAGCAATCCCAAGTATGAAGAAACGGGGAAAGGGTCTTTGAAGCTTCAGTTGATTAACCAACGGGCGGACTTCTCGTTTGCTTTATTTTCTGGTGGCGTGTCAAATGTAGGTTTTCTGCACTAGAATCTATATTGTTCTTTTAGATTGGTTTATTTATTTATTTATTTATTTTTCAGTTATTAAGTTATGACTTATGAGTATTTCTTCACTAACACTTGTTAGAATTTTAATTGTAGAAAGATTGATTTGAGGCAGTTGATCATTAGAATGGGTACTTGCACCAAAATAGAATGATTTTCCTTTTGTTTGAACACTGCTTAACTCAATGGCACTTTAACCTTTTTTTTTTGGTTTCTTATTCATACTATTGATCAGATTCTTGAAATTGTATTAAACTCTGGACAATAATTTCGGCGATGCTACTTAATGTGCTTTTTTGACACTGTAATAGCCAAAGCTGGTGGCAGTTTCGAATGTAGTTTCCTTTGCAAATCCAAATGCACCTCTATACCCACGATTAGCCCAAGGAAAGACGTGGAATGAAGTGAGTTTAAATCTCCATATGCTTTTCACGTTATGGGGGCTTTCTTGACATCCTTTTCAATGTTAAAAAATTGTGTGAACAAGTTCAGTAGATGGCTAATTTTTCAAATTTGAGCCCAGATGACTGTGACCTGGACCAGTGGCTATAATATTGATGAAGCTGAGCCCTTCGTCGAGTGGGGTCCAAAAGGAGGGGAACAAAAGCGTTCTTTGGCAGTCACTCTGACTTTTGATCGTAACAGCATGTGCGGTGTGTTGACTTTTTGTTGACTCTTTGAGTAATAAAATGAAGTCTTTATCGTTTGTTCTAACTGTAAAGCTTTACAGACCACCTTTGTGATTTTTGTTTACCTTGCTAATACCCTCATCTGGATCCATAGAAGGTAGACTTTGTAAATGGGTCTACGTAATTTTGAAAGATTACTGGGTTTTATGTAATTATGCCAAACTGTTTGTAACTTATATAATTAGCTCGATAAATGAATGATGATATCGAAATTGATGACATCATAGGAGCTAGTGGCTCAAAAAGTTCTACTAGAAAATTTCAAAGCAAGTACATGATTTTGTAGGTGCACCTGCAAGAACTGTTGGATGGCGTGATCCTGGATTCATTCATACTAGCTTTCTCAAGGATTTATGGCCCAACTCAGTGTATGTTCTATTTTATGTAATGGTATTTTACTTTATTTTTAAGTGGGGAACACGATAACTTTATTACTATTTTCTGTATTTTCCATTGAAGTTTGAGTTAAAATTAGTACATTTTATGTTTAATGACATGTTGACCTTAAAAATGTCCTTTTCCCCACCATTGTGTTATGTATTTCAGACTTTATTCAAATCAAAGCACATATGTAATTATGTTATTTCATGTTCTGAAAATTGTTATTATGATCCTTCAGGTACACTTACAAATTGGGACATAAACTGCTGAATGGCTCATATGTCTGGAGTGCTATGTATGAGTTCAAAGCATCTCCATACCCTGGTCAGAACTCTGTTCAACGGGTTATTGTTTTTGGTGACATGGGCAAGGTTTGAATCTTCCGAGAGTGTTTTTCTTACCATCTTTTTTTTTTTTTTTTTT